ACATGTCATTTATTTTTTAATTTTAGTTATTTTATAACATAATGAAAATGTCATTCCATTATGGGAGTAGATATTGAACATGTCAATATCTACTCCCTCAGCCCGGAATAGATAAGATTGCTGTTTTAGCTCTCATGCTAACTTGATACCTAAAAAAAAATAGAGCATAGCCATTACCTTAAAGTTTTATATAAACAACATTTTTTTCTTTGCAATAGGAGTCTCCAAGTCTGAATCATAATCTGTTCCACTTCAACCACTGGAGAATTCCTGATCAAAATTACTCAATGCTTCTTCTTCTGCTGCTTTTTCCAGTAATTAACTTTATTTATTTTTTGCTCAATGTTTGCTATTAGTCTCTTCTCCAGTTGCTCTTTTTCTACCATCTTCCTCGGCAGGTTTTTCATCATTCCCTCACTTTCAGCTACTATTTCAGCAAATGTCTAGTTATCTTTGAGGGACATCTTGACCATGTCCCCTTTTAAACATCTCTTCAAGAAAATAGAATCCTCCTTTACAGCCTCTTTACTCCTTCTCCTGGTTAATTAACTTGAGACTTTCTTCCTTGTGTATAGAAAACAAAACAGTGGCCTTGTCTGAGAATTGTTGAGTGTGTTTGCTTATGGTTTCTTTGTTCATTTCCAGGGTTCTCATCTTTAAAGGTGAGTTTCCACTCATCCGTTTTTCTACGGGAAAAGGAAAGGGAACGGAAAAATAATCACGTGAGCATGCGTAATAAAAGTTTTTATTTGTCCGTAAGGAAACTGCCTATGCTTAACACTACAGTAGACCGGGTATACAAAGCAATGATTCTAGTCCTAAATTAAAATGTTCCGTTTAAAACATACCATAAAAACTTATATGTAAATATATTTCACAGACAAATATGTTTCACAGTCTTGTTCCAAATGTTAGCCAGCTCTCTTATGATGCACACATTTGATATTTTATTATTGCTATCAGTATACACATACAATTACTGCATTTAAGCTTGCCTGTACTCACCAGAGGACATCTAATTTTCAGTCTTTTATTCCAGTCAGTGTTTTAGGTCAGCAAAAATTTGCCGACCTCGCTTGTATGCTTTATAGTTAATCTTTAATGTCAAACTTTTTTTGCCAACCTGATGCTGAACTCTAACAATTTAAGGTCAGCAATTTATTGCCTACCTCACTTTTCCTAATTCCGAGGGTTTAATTTTGGATGACAATATTTTGATTGGAGTTGCATGACTGATTAATCCAGTAAATTTTGTGACAAACTTCCTTACCGGTTAGCAGCCTTTTTGAAGCAAATATTTGGAAAGGGTACCCAAAAATATGAAGAATTCTTCTTCCACTAGGTTTTCAAACATGTCCTGCACTAACCATATTTAATATTACTTTCTGTATAAGAAAATTCAACATAATTGATCGCAAAATATACAATATTTTTACATATATGTAAAAGTTGTTATTAAGTAACTAAATGTATATTATTTAAAATAATTAAGTAGCAGTATACAATTAATTTTTTAACATGCAAATAACTGATAACTTATTAAATATTTATTTCTCTTATTTATTTTCTCAACAACAATTAACCCTTTAAGCACTTTAAAGTAATAAAGTTTTTACATTTTTCTGTAAAGTTTTTACATTTTTCACTTATTGCATTTTATGTTTATTTTTTTATTTCATAGCTTTTTGGGGTTTTTTGCTTCTTTTTCTCTTCTTTTTTTTTGACTGACTTAAATAAGGAGAACATGCAGGGACTGTACAAATATGAATGACTTCGATTTGGAGAACACATGTAGAGAGTACGTAAATTGACTCAGGGTTAAGGTTAGGGCAGGCAATCTTAATGACAACTACAATCTTTTTCCTGATATATGTACACTCTTTTTGCTTCTCCTTAATCAATTAAGTCAATGTTTGTACACTCCCTGCATGTTCTCCCTATTTAAGTCACTGGGTACATACCAAAATATCAATTAAGTATTGTTCACATTGTAAAATACTATTCACAATAGAAAATGCTTAAGTTCAAGTGAGAAAAATACCAAATTTTACAATGTAAAATGACAAGATAAATATTAATGTGGTAATATCTTGTTAAAAATAACAATTACAAAAGAAAATGACATTTGTAAATACCATGATTGATCTTATTATTATTAACAATATTATTATTACAGTAGAAACTCGTTAACTCGGACTCTGAACAGGTATATATATTTTGTCCGACTTAGCAAATGTCTGAGTTAAGCGAAGCATTTGGTATGTATAGAGAATTCAAGGGGAATTGAAAATTTGTCCAACTTAGTTAAAGTCCAACTTATCCAGTGTCTGACTTAACGGGATTCTACTGTATTATTATTATTATTATTATTGTTAATACTATTATTATTATTGTTATTACTACCATTATTATTATAAACTACATGAATTACCTCAAAGTTTACGTTTTTTTGTGCTAATAATAACTCTGTAGCATATTTATTTCCTCTCATGACAGCATAATGAAGAGGGGTAGATTCATAAAAATCTCTAGCATTTATATCTGGCTTTTGATCTAAAAGATACTTGAGAATAGAATCTTCTTTAAATGTGTCTTGAATTGTTAAATTCTTTGATTCTTCCTTGTTTGAGTTATTTTCTTTAAAAAGTTCATCTAAAAAATGAATAGACTTCTCTACGCCTATCTCATTCAACTTATCTCTTAAAGAAATTGATTTCACTAATATTTCTGATGAAGCAGAAATTTTAACAGAAGGTAAAATAAGGGCATCAACATTTTTTATAAAAACCAATTCACTTTGAGTGAGCTCATCGTGTATCATAACAACTTTCATTTTAGATTTGGTTTCTATATGCTCATAGGTATTGCAATGATATTTTCCATGATCTAAATCTTTATTCAACTTGAAAGGATTTTTATCAGCTTGTTCAACATCCATTTTAGAGCTACAAGGAAGACTACTGCATATCTCTGATGAATTATTTAATACAATCTTATTTTGTGTTGAGGAGCTTAAATTTTGCAGTTTTTTTTTACTGTTTTTAAAAGCAATTTTAGCACTTTTGAAAATTGATGTGTTGCTTGTACTACTTAATTTATTAATCTTAAAATGAAGATTGTATTTTTTACTAGGAGTTATTTCTTTTTCAACTTCAGGTTTAAAACTTTGTGGTTTCTTGTTTTCGATGATGTATCTTGACGCATAATGCAACGGACTTGCATTGTATTCACCTTTAATGTTCACATCTAAATTTAATAAAATAAAAACATTGCTAAAATATCAAAAAAGAAGAATATATATAAATTATATATATATATATATATATATATATATATATATATATATATATATATATATATATATATATATATATATATATATATATATATATATATATATATATATATATATATATATTAGGGAACATTGCTAAAATAATATACTAAAATTCCTATGTAAAATAAAATTTTAATTTGAGTTTCTTTTTTGTATTTTTTAATTTGAAAATGTTTTGGTAGTACAATTGAGAATTTTAGTTGTGCATTTTATAATTTATTGTAAAAAATTACCCGTTTTTTGAGAATGTGTTGAAATAAATGCATAATTCTCAAGGTGAGTAATACTCACATTGTAAAATTAATATCAGCTATCAAATTATCAAAAAGTTTGTTTTTATAACACAATCATATTATTCATACTCTTGAGTATGAATATTATTTGTATGCGATAAAATGAATTATGTGATAAAACTATGTGGTTAATTTTTTGACTTTGTAGTAGATCACGGCTGTTTCACTCAATATAAAAGCGAGCTTGACGTCACAGTTAATTTTGTGTTTATCAAAAAAAAAAGTATTTCCGCAAATAAGTTTAAAAATGCACTAACTTTAAAATAATAGTGTTTTTTTCCTATAAGCGCTTTCATCTTCAAATAAAAAATATATATAAAAGACCTATTTTTTTTTTTTTAATTTTAATGTAAATAAATATTTACATTAAACAGAATAAAAACATTAATGTTTAAATATTGCTAACGATTTGGGATCACTTTTCTGTTTTTTGTGGCTTACAGAAAACCTGTCTTGGGTCAACTAAGATTTCATAATATAGCTACATGCCTCATAGTTGAAATTTGGAATATTTATAAATAAATATCTATTCTATCTAATTTTTGGTGCGGATTGCTTATTTTTTATTTTTTAACTATTTTTTAATGCATTTATATTTTTAATTTTATTATTAAATAATGAAAATCGTATTATTTTTGTAATCCGCACCAAATTATTAAAATTTCAAACCTGTCTGCATAGAAAAATCAAAATATTGTTTGCTGTACCTTTAGCTATGTTATGAAATATGTTTTCAAACTTGGCTAGTTTAGAAACAAATTTTTCTAGTTTGATGCGCAAAACATTGTTTACATTTTAAAACAATCACATGACCTTAAATTCTGTAAGTCCCAAGCAAATCGTCACATTAGAATTATAGGGTTCTATCTGCCTTTTTTATGTTGTGAGAACTTTACTTTCAATATCTATTTAATACATGTTTTACAGCTGTTATTCATAATAATTATAAATTATAAGTTGTTTATGTTACCTATATTTTATTATTTAACATATTTTATATTAAACCACTTAAAAAATGATATGTAATATATCATTTAAGTGGTTTGTTTTTATTATTTATTATTATTTAAAACTTTGATTGTTCAAATTCTTTCAACATAAAACAAGGCAGATAGAACCCTATAATTCTCATGTGACGAAATATGAAATAAATTCTTCAAATAAAAAAATATAAAAGACCTATCTTTTTTTTTTAAATAAATATTTACATTAAACAGAATAAAAATATTAATATTTAAATATTGCTAACGATTAAAGAAATATGAAATAAATTTTATGAAAACAACTTTCTTAGCGAGACGAATTTTGAAGTATAAAATAGACAAAATTATGTGGTTTTTTCTTTAGAATAGTGCATAAATCTATTATCAACTGGATGTTCAAAGATTGTTTTGTACTTAAAGAACTTATTAATGGATCAATTTATTAATTGATCAACCAAAGTTTTTCATGAGAATAAAAACACATTATCAAACAATTTAAATTAGCTATTTGTATATTTAAAGAAATGTTTATTTTTTGTGTAAAAAGATTAATTCAAGTGCCATAAAATAATTCTATTACCAAAAGCGAGGTTAATTCAAAAACTTTAACTCAGTTTTGGTCATGAATTATTTTATTAGAGTCTTTATTTATTAACAACCTAACACCATATTATTAAAAGTGTATGCATAGAAAAGAAATTGCCCTAGTTTTTTAAAGGCTTTAGCTTAAAATGTTAAGAATAAATATTTCAAACTTGAAATCTGGTTTTCTTTTATAATGCATTGAATTTATAAGCTTTGTGAATTATTTTCTAAAACACGAACTTCTAGATTTAAAATTGTGCTCATTTAACAGCTAATCCCCCCCTTTAACAAGATTTTTCATAATTTTGCAAAAAATGCGGTTTGCTTGCAGACTTTAATAAAGACTGTTTCAATTTTCCTTTAACATTAAGTAAGATTTTTTTATTTTATTAATAGTTAAACAATGAGTGTATTTGATAATAACTATCAGAAATATATTTTTCTGATTTTTTTTGATAAAAAGTAACAACAAATTACTAAAATTTAACCAAGTTCATCATTTGTTGCGCTTTTTATAAACTAAAAGAAGTTTTTTTACTATTGTATTAAATGTCGTATGATAAAACATTTTGTTGTTGTTTTTATTCCTTTTACAAAAAAAAATTATCTCTAATATTTCAAAAGTTATAAATGTTTTAGTAACACCCCCTAAGTCAAAATTTTCAAAAAATAATAAGAAGCCGTAAAGCTCACTCTGAAACAGTAGTGAGATGTTTTATCTTAGTAATTAATTGATTTAATATTGTTAAATAAGAAAGATATATTTAAAAAAGGAAACATACATTTAAATGGAAGAAACGAAAAAAGAAGAATTTTATTCAGTTTATATACTCCAGACTTCAAATTTTAACTCCAGACTTCAAATTTTATTTGTTTATATACTAGAAATTTTTTTTTAATAAAAAAGATTCTATTCACAAATACTTTTTAATAATTTGTATGTTTTTTTATTTTTTAATAAAAGTACTAACAATGAGTGATTAAACATCGAATGATCAAAATAAATGATCGAATGAGTGAAAACTAGACATATTTTAGCAACTTAATTGTCTAATTTTGTTGGAAATGGTTAAAAAAATTTGTTTTGTCAGAGGTACCCACAAAAAGATCAGTAATTCAAACAGAAATTCTTCTAAAGATTAGCTTTCAATTTTTTTTAGAACTTTCAATGTATTTTCAAAAGTGGTTATATTAAAATATATACTCACTTTATATAAATTATTCGTGAAAAATAACTAAACTTATATCTATCTTGTAGAAAATGTAGAAAACATAATTTTGTTACAAAAGAACTAAGCTGTGAACTTGCTAAACTGGTGACAGCTCAATGGTTCAAAGCATATAATCAGTTTAAAGCATTAATTTCAGAAAAATCACTTGCGGAAAAAATAGATAGATAAAAAAGAAAAAGAAATAGTCTTTGATATCATAGCATGTAGTCATACAATCAATATATGCACAGAGGCAACATTATTTTGCAATGATCCCAAAAACTGCAAGATAGATGCACATGTTTATTGTTCATGTCCTCTACTACAAAAAGTTCATGTACTTGAAGTCCTTTGGCTTCGTAATCAGAGGCTTAAAAAGAAAGAGATTTCTACTATGTAAATTGGTTTTATGTGGTTATAAAAAATCGATTCGCCTACAGAGTAGAGAGAAAAGAAAAAACAATTAGGAAGAAGCTGAAAAAAAAAAAGAAAATGAAAGAAAAAATGAGTTTGATAAATTTCAGGTTAGCTAAATTACAATGAATGAATGGAATTCTTTAATTGTTTTAAAATATTTCTTTCCGCAATCTAAAGTATACTTTAAAACTAACTTTTTAATGATTAATATATTAAACTTTTTTGAATTTAAAATTTATATATTCTATTATAAATATTATTAGTTACCAATATTGGTGAGTAATGATATATATTATAGAAACTGCATTTTTAAACAATATAGAATCCTGCACTAGTTTTAAACTTGCTGGAAGAAAACAGCAACAATGATACATACAATATAAATACTGTACAACTGAAGAACAAAACAAAAACTCTGGTCCACAAGTTGCTTGAAGCAAAACTTGGAAGATTGGCATCACTGATTACAAGATACTTAGAAAAAACAAGTCTAAAGCAAAAGAAAATGATCATAACACATGCTGCATCAGCTGCAATAAGATATATATTTCTAATATTGGTGCAGCAGCTATAGTCACTGTTGTATGGATAATTTTACTTTAAGTAAATGCTTTTGCAAAAACTTCAAAAGAAACCGTCCTTAAACAATTCGATTGCTTTCTTTCTTTGAAGAAAACGATGTTTAAACGTGATTTCTTTTATGTTTTTAGCAATTATATTAAAAGTTTAAAGCAAATGATTTTATTATAAATAAAATTGTGCTGCTTTAATTTAATTTTTTTATTTTCCATAAAGTGAAATAATGTTTGTTTGCATATTAAAAACACTTTTAAATGTTTTTTTTATTGTGCGTTTATCATTAATTTGCGCGCACTTTACAAATGTGTAAAAAAAGTTTTTGTAAAATAACAATTGAATAAATTTACCAAGTATCTTTGATATAATTGATAAATTATTAAATAGAATAAAAATTACTTGAAATTTGTTTTCCATAAATCTCTTAAATTAGACGTTCGTCAATAAATAAAGATACGCAAGTCAACATTCATTAAAAAAAAAAAACGATGTTATGCCCTGGGATAAAAAATAGTTTGGCAAATGCAACTCTTTCAAGATTATTGTAATTTTTTTTTTTTTTTTTGCTAATAATTTCTTTATTAGAAATTATATTTTTATGATAAAACAGTTTCTAATTATTTTTTGATATCTTCAGTTCTTGTGATAAAGCGTCGGGCAATGTGAATTTTACGTCGTCCAAGAGCGATTTTGTGTGTAGCTAGGGCTATTTGCGTCGAGCAAAAAAATTTTTGTTTGAGTATATTTAAAGATATTTTTGAGCGGAATTTTAATGAAGTACTTTAAAAACCACACGCAGTTGATATAAAAGTTTGAACTACAAAAAAATTAAATACGCTCATAATTTACAAGTAGAAAAAATTCAGATTAAAAAAAAGTTTAAATCTTTTTAAGCTAACATTTTAATAAAATTATTCAGCCATAGCAAAGTTGTCGATAAAATTGAACAAAAATACTTTCTTTTAGTTTTAGATTTTTAACTTGAATAATTATTTTATGGGTGTTTGTTAGATTTTAAAATTATTCCGTAGATTTAAAAATATTTATTAACTGTTAGACGTATTTAAAGTATTTCAGAGTAATTTCGAGGAAACATTTTAAAAATTGGTAAGCGCAAATAAAAAAAAATAAAAGGATTAATATTAAAACATATTCAACTTGATTTAATAAAAAAGTACAGTTATTAAAATTTTTGTAAAAAGTAACTCAAAAAATAAATTACTTAAATAATAACAATCGCTTTTTTGTTAAAAGTTACCGAAACTCAACAAAGCGTGCTCAAAAACAGCTGCTGAAAAATAGAACGCCAATAGTTTGATAAGTTTATATAACCTGGTTTTGTTACTCGGTTTCTACCGATGTAAAGCAAATTTCCACAAACACCCTGAAAAAGGCTCAATAAATGTAAAAAATAAAATAAAAATTAATTTGCAACCTATAATCATAAGCCATTTCATAAAACTTAAAATAAAAAGTATATCTAAATGAGGACATATATAAAACGTGCATTAATTTTTTTTTCTTAAAAAAAAAAGTTGTTTTACTACTATTGCTAGTTCAAGTAGATTTTATGTTTTTTTTTTTTTAGTAGAATTTCATTATATAAACTATCTTGCATTTATATACATAAAAAAAACAAATCTTTACTAGAGGCTCTTTTCCTTAAATAATTTATTTCATTACTTGAAATATTACACATATTAACAAGAAGTATAAAGGATCCAGACAAGAAATGGTTTAAAGCAAATTTTTGAATCAAAAGGTTTAGTTAAAAATCCACTACGGCGCATTAGGAAAATAAATTGAAAAACATAACAATTTTTTTTTATAAACCAAGTTAGCCGTTATTTTATAAAAAGTGTCGAGCATGACTTCCACTTATAATATTTCTGTAATGTCAAATGAGAACTATATATAAAATAAAAAATTTAGTATAAAAGTTTATTTATAAAATAAAATTAATTCTCATATTTAACCACGTAATGTTTTCTTTTTTTTATTTTAGCGCACCTTTTATTAAATATTGTTCAATATGCAAATCTTTTCGCTGAAATATGTCTTTTATACCTATAAGATTTTTATTCTAACATTTTATTTTATTTTATTTTACTAGAAATAAAATTCCTTGTAAACATTAAAAATCTATTCAAAACGTTTGTTAAAGTTTTTTAGTAATACGAGTGATTGTGCTTATCAACCGCTTTATGAAAATAAATAAAAATAAATAAATATTATATAAAATCGCTTGTAGAAATATTAGCTATTGCACAGTTTTTAACCGTACAATATTACAATTTCCAGTTTATTACTCGCTGACTTTTTAAAAAGAAAAAATAATTATTTGAAAAACTTTAAATTACATATTTGAGAAAAAAAAATCCTCTTACGAGAAGGCCTGAATGTTATTATTAATTATTAAGTCGTTATCATAATATTTGTAAATTACACGTTTTTCACTGATGGTCCTTCATCACAATTCAAAAACTCTTATGTCATGACACCCATGAACAACTTGTAAAAATTATCATCGGATCTTCTAGAGATTCGTTGGTCATTTTTTGAAACATCACACAGAATGGGAGCAGTTGATGGCATAGGTGGAGAAATAAAAAGAATGACTTGGACAACAGTAAAATCTGGAAAACAATATTGTTGCAGTTGAGAAAATTTTGTGAGCATTGCAAGTGAAAAAAAGACCAAAATCAATGTCATTGTTTAGAGAAAAAAGATCAAAATAAAAGTTGCAGATATGAAACTTTTGCTTATTAAACATTCAAATATACTCATTTGGTGACAATTCCAACAAACCGCTCTTTGTTTTTGAGAAAATGCGCAGAAAATTGAACAACCACTAACATCTTTGTTAGAGGGGTGTGTAATACTGCGGTACTAGCGGTTTTAACTTACACAAGTCATGCCAGGAGAGGTCGTTGAGAAACCACACTTTGATAACTATGGACACTATTATTAAGCTGAAATGTTCTAACTAAACTTATTGTTAAAAATTTGATATTATATCTTTTTTATCTTTAATGTAATATAATAACTATATAATACATTATTTATATTTAATATAATAGATTAAAGTATTGTTTTTTAATCAAACATGTATTTAAATAACTAGTACTGATATATATGCTATTTATGATTGTCGCAATAGATTTATTTCCAAAAATACAATTCAAAAATGACTAATGCTTGCATGTTCCCTTAATTCCCCTTTTTTTTTTTGTCTATGTGTGATTTTGGTTTAAACTACTATTGTGGAGCAAAGTAGAATGCTGTAACTTTGTAATAATCTTTAAAAATGCTTGTATAATTACCTATAAAAAACAAAACAACCCGCCACTAATATATTATAGAAAAACTAGGGTTCATATATTAATTTTTTATTTTTTGCATTTTTCTGTTCCGTGAGTGACTTCATTAAAAAATTAATTTATTCTATAATGAAGCAACCCGTAGCTACCATACTTTGTATAGGTAATATATACATAGATGTCATTTAAATAGAAGTCGGTGATTACAAATTGCATTATTTAGAAAATAATTAATGCAACAGATGCAATCTTCCATGCATGTTTTTTTGGAAATGCTCTTCATCATTAGATTTTAATGCTGATGGCTATTATCCTATGATTTTAAAAGACTCCAATAGACACAGGCTTGGCTTTGGCAAATACTCATGTATAAAATCACTTATTTGTTGCAAAACTAGATTTTATTTTTTATTGCTCTCTTTTTTCTTAAAACTTCATTCTTTTGATTTTGTTTCTGACCAATTTGACTTATCTTTTATAATTCATCCCACAGCCAATATTGCTATCCTGGTTCTAGTACCACTGACCCTGCTGACTCAAAAGCACAAAATTTATGTTTTTCTTCAACATCTAATTCAGATAATTAACTTTGTAGCTTGTTTTGATTTGTATCTTTTCTCTGACCTTAGCTTGTCCTTAGTTTCTCTAAGCTTTTATTCCTCTTCGACATCAGATTTCAACCTATAATAGCACTTTATACTGTGTTTGCTGACTAAGATTCATTTTATGATTTTCTTTGTGATGATGAAAAAAAATCAAAACATTGTCTTTTTTACCTCCTGCATTCATGCAAGCATGGAAGCTTTTATTTCATACATGCACAAACTTTTATTTTTTTCAGTTTCAAGTCAAGCTTTTATCTTATTCCTAGAATTTTGTCAAAGACTTATGTTTACCCCAAAACACTCTTTATTTCTCTCTAAATTTTTTCACAAGTGCCTATTAGAGTCTTATATACTTTCCTGTTCAGTTATTTACTGCTAATATTATAATATTGGTGATAATTTTATAACTAAGAACAACCTATCTGAAAGCTCTGTCTAGCATTGTGCTCAACATATTCTTACTTCTGATTTCATCCTATACATTTATAAATTACTTAATTGTCCTAGCAGAGTTTGCAAAAAAACGATTTTTTTTCCTTTTACATTATTATTTTTTAAAATTAAAGTAGCATTAAGTTAGTTATATATCTAGGTATACTTTACTTTATGGGAATGTTTATTAGTTGCATTTCCTAACAACTGTGATACACTCATTATATAAAGATTTCTTTTATTTCTATCCTATAAAAAAATTACCATTTTAATAATGTAAATTATATGAAAATTAAATAAAATTTTTTCCATATTAAACAATCATTAAAGTCAGTTAAATTAAATTAACAAATTTATTAAAAAAATTATTTTATAAAAATACTATAAAAGGTTAAAGTTTCAAAGTTATCAATTTCAAATGTAATCCTAAATAATAATAATTTTATTGTACAGTAAAAATTCTTTAAGCTCTGTTTTGTTTTGGTTTTGTTTCTTTTAAGTTTTTTTTTTTAATTTCTTTCTTTTTTAAAGTAAAGGTTTTGTTATTGTATGTCTATAGAAGAGTTAAACTTTGTGCATTTTTAAAAGATTCTCAAAACATCTAAAAATATGTGGTCAAGTTATTACAAGAAAATATTATTTAGGAAAATTGAGGTCAGCAATAATTTGCTGACCTCAATCTTTTAAAGGTTGGCATCAGGTCAGCAAATACAAAGATCTTACCATAAAACATTGAAACAAGGTTGGGAAAACAGAATTTTTTTGCCGACCGCAAACACATTTAAATCGGCCGACCCTAATTCCGAGGTTGCATATGTATAAAGTTTTACAATAGGTATTAAATTTTACCATAGGCATTAAATTTAAAAATACTAACACAATATAATATACAACTCATATTAAGAGAAATTTCCTAAAGAAAAAATTATAGTAAAATTTTTGCACAAAAACATTGATAACCAATTAGAAAAATTACTTGCTCCATTTTCAACAAGGAGTTTAACTATAGAAATATGTCCATAGCGAACAGCATAATGAAGTGCAGATGTTTGTTCATCATCTTTATTGTTAATTTTTTTTTTGTCTTTACCATATAAGTTTATATATTTTTTCACAATATCATATTGACCGTCACGAGCTGCCTAAAAAAAAACACAAACATACATAAATATATATATATATATATATATATATATATATATATATATATATATATATATATATATATATATATATATATATATATATATATATATATATATATGGATGTTAACCAGGAATAAATTTGAAACAGTGTTTTAACAAAATTGGGAATTTGTCAAAATATTTCTCAATTATCCCCCCCCCCCCTCCCCATCAAGATTAAAATATGTTATATGTTAAAATATATTCTTTTTTTTTTTCTACTTCACTTAAACGTTGCATACATTGATTGGACAGCGCCAAAAATAAAATAATATACCGCCTATAACATACAAGATGAATATGAAATCAATACAAAATTAAACGTGGTTCCATAACGACACCGCAAATTAAGCTCCGATTTCCAAACATATATTAGGAATTATATATACTTATATTTTAAAATAATCAGTGTATATTAATTAATTACTATTAAAAATAATATAGTTTATTTATTTTTAATCTTAATATATTGTTGCCGCTTTTATTTCAAGAGTATTTTTTTGAATATATATTTCTTTTTCACTGTAATATGGAAATATAGCAATTAATGCTCAATGAAAATTTCTGCGGAGGAGAGCCAATGATCTTCTACTTCTAATTGTTATTTAATAATTTGTTTGATATCCTTTATGGACAAACCCTTACATCATCATGTAATAAATTGTATCATCAAAAGAAATGTTTTAAAAATAGATAAGGTTTTAAAAAAAGTAAACACGAGCTCATAAATTTTATATTTCACATTATTGCGAGTTCAATTTTATAATTTATAATAATAATTTTTTATACATAAATCGCATAATAAAATAAAGTTATAGTTACAGTCTCAGCAAAAACAACAATAAATATTTAATTATAGAAGAATATTGATTGCAAGCGGATTGCATGTGTAGCAATGAAGAATACCAACAGTTATTTTTTATTCATAGTTATAAAATGTTATGACTATGTTTATTCAAAATGTTACATTTTAAATTCAAGCAAGCAGTGAATCTTGTTTCTGCTATTTAAATTTCTAGTACCAGTTTGTTGTATTAAAAAAAAAATTCTTGTTATCAAACATTTAATTTAGATTCTAATATATATATCTACATTTTAAATACAAGCAAGCAGTAAAGTAAAGAAATCTATTTTCCTTGTCCAATAACTTTGTAATACCAGTTTGTTATAATCATAAGATATTTTTTTTTTATTCAACTTATATTTCAGAGGTGGTTTTTTAAAAAGTAAGTGAATTAATAGAATTTAACAGACAGTCTAGTGTGTACCACCGGTGGTACACGCCGGCGTGAACGTGTTAAGTAAAAAAAGATTTCAGTTGATGTTATCACCACAACAAAATTGAAAAACAATAACTAAAAGACTTGTTTGGGATTGATACAATTCAGGATTGAACAATAACTAAAAGACTTGTTTTGGATTGAACAATAACTATAAGACTTGTTGGGATTGTCCATAAATTAGGAATCAAAAACATTTGATTTTTTTTTTTTATTTCTCAATAAAAAAAAACAAAAAAGATCAAAACTTTTCTCTCGCAGGGTCTTAATATAATATAAAATCTTAATATAATATAAAATAAGTCTTAATATAATATTAAATAAAAAAAGCCCATTTAGTTTAATGAAAATTGCATAAAATATCTCCAACTTCTGTTTTTTAAATATAGTTTGCATTGCATAATTTATGGACCCCTTACTGTAATACCCGTAATTGTTCAAAATTTTGAAAGTATCTGACATAAACAGTTTCTCAATATTGTTGTTGACGAAGCACATGTACTACTTAAAGTTGAGTTTGCAGTTATTTAACTTTTCAGCCAAAAATGGCAAAACTTTTAAAGAAAAGCATTTGCGTGTGTTAAACCAAACAAATTTGTTATTATTTTAGATTTTTTAGATTAGCGCTTTATTTCTTGCTAACTTTTTTATATAATATTTGCAGTTGGAATGCATTGCAACAGCAAATATTATATATATATATATATATATATATATATATATATATATATATATAATATATATATGTATATATATATATACATTTATATATATATATATATATATATATATATATATATATATATATATATATATATATATATAATATAAATTTATATATATATATACATTTATATATATATATATATATATATATATAAAATATAAATTTTATATATATATATATATATATATATATATATATATATATATATAATACAAATTTATATATATATATATACATTTATATATATATATATATATATATATATATATATATATATATATATATAATATAAATTTATATATATATATATACATTTATATATATATATATATATATATATATATATATATATATATATATATATATATATAATATAAATTTATATATATATATACATTTATATATATATATATATATATATATATATAAATATATATATATATATATATATATATATATATATATATATATATATATATATATATATATATATATATATATATATATATATATATATATACACACACACACACAGAGGCTTGGACAGGAATGGCGTGCGAACGAGCGCTATTGTTGACCACGCAAATTATTTTATTTTTAGACAACTTTACCACTTTTGTTTAAATGACAAACATTTCAGAAATGCGCTGAATGTAGAAACACGAAGCTAAACTTAAACTTGGAAAAAAGTTTAAAAAAAAAAACTAATGAAAGAAAAATTCCTAACAAAAAAAGAAAGGAAAAAAAATTATTACGAAAAAGAAATTATATAAGCACAAAAATAAAAATAAAAAATTAAACTCAAAGCGTAATATTTTGTTACATATTTAATTAGGTTTGAAATAAATGTTATTAAAAATTATTTTTTTAAACGTTTTATTAAAGTTACGCAAAACACTTTTGAATCGCTTTTAGATTAAGTACCAAATTACTACTAATGATTGTTTAATAAATGATCAAATTTTATTAAATTTATTGAAAAGTGTTGTATGTAATATTTTTAAATAGTATCAACATTTATTTTTTCAAAAAAATTGCACCAAAAAAAAAAAACTGTTTAAAAAAATATCGTAGTCATTTTCAAATAGTAATTTTTAATAATTTCATGCTCTAATTAGTAAGTTTAGTTAAAAAAGTTTTTTTATTTGTTAAAATAGGGAGGAAAAAAAATTAAACTCAAAGCGTAATATTTTGCTACATATATATACATTTAATTAGGTTTGAAATAAATGTTATTAAAAATTATTTTTTTAAACGCTTTATTAAAGTTACGCAAAACACTTTTGAATCGCTTTTAGATTAAGTACCAAATTACTACTAATGATTGTTTAATAAATGATCAAATTTTATTAAATTTATTGAAAAGTGTTGTATATAATATTTTTAAATAGTATCAACATTTATTTTTTCAAAAAAATTGCACCAAAAAAAAAAAACTGTTTAAAAAAATATCGTAGTCATTTTCAAATAGTAATTTTTAATAATTTCATGCTCTAATTAGTAAGTTTAGTTAAAAAAAAGGTTATTTTATTTGTTAAAATAGGGAGGAAAAAAAAATGCACCTGCGATTTAATTATTCGTGTACTGTTTTTATTTTTGTTTCTTTAGAGTTACATTCAGAAACAAAATTAGATAAGATGAAGCAAAAAAAAAAAAACAGTTTGAAGTCTACAATAAAAAGAATGATTTTCCTTTTCTAAATTTTTTTTAAGAGGATAGCAAAAATACAAATTGCAATGTGTTTGTAAAATTTATTTGTATAATTTTAATGTAACAACAAGGGTTGAATTAAGCGAATGCAAAATGCAAAATCTGGAAAAATATCTAGTACTCAAAATTTTAGTTAATACAAAACTGCGTTCCTTATTTTTAAGGGGAGAATCAACTTAAATTTGTTAGCGAAAAAATAAAAAATAAAACAATAAAGTTACGATTGCAAAAGTAATAACACTCTAGTCACTAACTGCATTACAAAAGTAATAACACTATAATTAGGTAAGCGGAAATACGTGTTTTACAGAACCGGATTTTGTGCTAAAATTCTGTGCCAGGTTTTTTGAAATTTTTTTTAGGTAACGTCAGACAAACGTTTTTTTGTGGTAATTCTTTTTAGAAACATTACTTAACTTAGATTATTTTTAAAAAAATAATCTAAGTTAAGTAATGTTGGAACAGAGCAAGAACTATGGACGGGGGAAGATGAATCATACCCACTATACTTTTTTGTTGAACTTATCTTTTTCAATAAGTCTTTGTTTGATAACAAAAACTTATTGAACTTATAGGTTTAAAAATTGGTCATGGCTCAATGATTTATTAACATTAAAAAGGGGCTTTTTTGTTTACAATTAAGTCTTCAATTTGATCCCAAATAGGGATAGTTATAAGTTTCATCCAACTTAAAACTTTTAACTCTTGTTATTGAGACTAATAACAAGTCAAAGGTTACACAACTTACATAATCTTGGCTTATTATAATTCTAAGATGAATTAGATAAATAAAATTAAGGTCATGAATAGAGTACCGAAAGTTTTTATATAAACTCTCTTTATAAAAACGAGATTTGTTTTTACACGTGAACTTTAGCAACCAATGAACGCGCTATTAAAAGTTAAAACTTTCGGTACTCTACCCAGGGTGTAAAATTAACATAAGGTAATTTGTTTATCTTTGGAAGAAACATAAATAAATGATCCAGCTGGGCAAAATTTGAATTTGGCTTCACACTCATTGCTCTCTTTCTTAAACAAGAAAACATTTTTTTTTAGACAAAATTATTGAGAGTGCAGCAATTCTTTTACTTTAAAACTTTAAATTAAATTTATTACCTTTACGTAATTTATCGGTCACGACTTTCGTTTTCGTAAGTTTAGATGCGTGCGTTTTTCAATATTGTATAATCAAGAGAAGAGAACACATGCTGTGTGAGCATTTTCAATAAATTGTTAG